CCTGTCCTGAGTCCTGCCCTGAGCACACGGGTAGCGGCAGGGTATGGAGGGATGTTCGCCCATCATCTCTGCCGTCTCCCCTGCCCAGCACTGGGTTGGCACGTGGCATAAACACCTCTTCAGAGCTGAGGGCAGCCCAGCCACGGTGTGCGTCTCATGTTTCCCAGTAGTTCAAAGGTGTCTGTGCTGAGGAAGAGCCCACAGAACCTTGTCTAAGATGAGGGAGGTGCAAACGGGGGCTCCTGGACCCTCCCTACTCCCACCGCACCCATGTGGGCTCCCAGGTGGTGATGCTGCTGACAGCGGGCACCACCGCTGACTCCGTGGAGGCCGTTCTGAGCACTACCCGTTCCCTCCCCTCACAACCCGTGAGGGGGGTCAACCATTATCCCATCTGACAGGCGAGGAAACCGAGCAGGGGTGGGAACTCACTTGCCCATGGCCACACGGTGCAAAGGCAGGACACCCAACTGGCACCCCATCCTCTGCTGGCTGGGACCTTGTGAAGGTGACCGAGCCTCACGCTGCAGACACTTCCCCTCCCTCCTGCCGCGGGTCCAGAGCTCCGGGAGAGAGCTTCTTTCTAAATTCAAATCAGCACCCACCGCAGCTCACCGCACCCCGCTCACCGCACCCCGCTCGGTACTCCGCGCCCAGGTGACCCCCACATCCTCCCAGCCCACCTGGCCTTCTTCCAGATGCTTATACCCGTTTCCTAAATTCACACCAAACTGTGCTACTCAAAGTCCTTCGAGGGCTCCCCTTGCCTTAGTGGAAAAAAAAAAAAATCAGCCTCCCGTAGCCCCACACCCAGGGCCAGTGAAAGGGGGCCATCCTCGCTGGGACTGACTCTCGACGGAAACACAGGCCACAGGAACCTCTCTCTACTTCCAGAAGCATCCACGCTGCCAAGCCTAATTGTGTTTGCAAGACAGGAAACCCAAACTGGCTTTAATAACGCCCCAAGTCTCTGAAGTGAGACCCATGTCCTCCCTCCCAACCCCTTCACCAAAGGCCACTGCAACTCGCCACAGAAAGTGTGCAGCGAGCGTGCGGGGAGGGAGGGACCTGGACACAAACACGCGGGAAAAGCCGGTGCCGCCCGGCGTCCTGCATCTTGTCATCAGTATAATAAACTCCCACCCGCGTTCCCCCCAAACATGGCAGGAAGGGCTGCGGAAAAAAGATGTCCCTTTAATAAAACGTTATCAACATATATCGTACACAAACTACAATGTATCATAATTACTTTTTTTTTTTCCTCTCTTAATTCAGAACCAGACTACAAGGTAAGAAAAAACACAGAAACAGCTACAATGTTCCCAATAATCCGCACAAGGTCTTTTTTCAGGCAGATGATATCTCACATAATATGATATACATGGATCAGAAAGGGGAGAAACAAAGACCAGCTACGGGGAGGGGGCGGGGAGTAAATGTACAAAGAATTCGGGTGTCTCCGGGGCCAGACACAGAGGTTTCCGTGGGGTGCTGAGGTGAGGGAGGCCGAGTCACCCCTCCTGGGAGGGGACAGGCTCCACTGTCGCGTGTCGGTTTTTAAAAATAAAAACAGGACCGGAAACAGCGCGTCTGTTTGGTGGCTGGTGTCCCCCCACCCCCACAGCTATTCCAAAGTCTTTCCATTCAGTTCCAAGCATATGCAGAGCAGTTCTGGTCAATATCCCGTCTTTGAAAAAGGAGGAAGAATCAACAGAAAAAAAAAGAAAACCCCAAACTCCAGCGCTACACTGCCAGCACACACCGAGGGCGCGAGGGCCAGGGGACGAGGACGGAGGTCAGTTTCATGTCCCAGTCACAGCCATCCTGTCGGGGGTGGGCTCCCCACTCGCTCCAGACCACCACCCAGCTGGCAGGCTTCTCGCTGGGAAAACGGGGTGGGGGCCAAGGCGGGGGTGCAGGGGGGTCCCTGGAGGAGCAGTCCTGGGAACACAGTGCACGCCACCACCGGCTGCAGCGAGTCTCCAGCGAGTCTCCGCCTGGTGGAGTCCTGAAGCCTGAACCAGGCGGCCTGGCCCTCCGGCCAAATCACGGGGTGGGGGACATTCTGGGGTCCAAGCTGTGCAGCTGCTGTTGCCACCTTGCCCAGGAGAAAACTAAGCAAAAAAACAAAACAGTCCCCGCCCCTCCCTTGCCCATCTGCACAAGCCAAAAACCTCTAATGGAAAAGGGCGACTTCCGTTTGCTTTCCAAAAAAGGCCCTTGGAAAGAAACCACTGATTGTAAACGGCCCAGTTTATTATTATCATTATCATCATTATTATTCTTAGGTGGCTACAAAGACAGCGTGAGATCGCACACTGAGACTAGCTCTCCGGTGGAAGGGCTTGGGTACAGACAGCAGGGCTTGGTGGGGGTTTTTTGTCCTTTGTCCTTTTTTTTTTTAAAGAAGAAAGCAAAGAGGTTGGTTGGGGTGAAATGGGGTGGGGGTTTGCTAGAAGCTTCCTTTTTTAAAAATTCCCCCCCAACCCCATCCCCAGAAAACAAATAAAAAAAATTCCAACAATGGCAAAACCCAACAAATAAAAAATCCCAACAATGGTAAAACCCAAACAAAAGACAACAAAAAAGTGTCATGTACTTAAAAGATCCTTTTGGGAAAGAGCAAGGGGTGGGATTTTTCTGGTCAATGACTTGAAATATATTTTTATTTTGAGTTTTGTCCTTCATGTTTTATGGAATAAAAAGTTCGGCCTTTTTATTGCATGAAACTAAAATTGGGAAAGGTGGGGGAGTGGAGAGGGCAGGGTGGAGGGGGAGCGGGAGGTGCCCCTCCCCCAGCGCCTGGGCAATGACACCTCACTTCTTCTTGCATAATTTCTGGCATCTTCCCGCCTGCAATGCCGGCTCTCTCAGCATCTCGGAGAAGAGGAGGGTCACACACTCATCGTCATGCTTGGAGAATACTGCACGGGGAGAAGCAGAGAAGGAGGTGGTGAGGGCCGGGGAGTGGGAGACTTGTGGGGGTCTGATTGCAGAGGCGGAGGCAACCAGCTGGGGGCCTGGCTGGGCTGAGACTGGGTGACACTGGGTGGGCAGGGCCAGGAGGCGCCTCTCAGCAGCAGCCTGTGCCTGCCAGGAACTCACCCCCCTTTCCCTCAAATCACCCCTTTCCAGCTGAAGAGGCAGGCGCCTTCCCCACTCCCCCATCCCCCTACCCGCCACAGGCTGCAGCTGGCTTTCCTGCCATCGGGTCAGGCACAGGGCTGCAGAGGACTGGGAGTGAGCCAGGGTGCCCTGGGGTGGGAGCCCGTTGGGGGTTCTCAAAAACTGCTTAACCACGAGGCTGTTCCTTCAAAGACGACTGTGGACAGAAGCCCGACGGCCAGCCCCTCTGCAGCGAGACCTCAGGAAGTCACTGTCTGCATGAACCTCCTCCCCAGGACAGATGGAAACGGACCGGTGGATTGTGACCCAGCGGCCAGAGGCCAGGCCGCCCAGCCCGGCCAGGCTTTCCAACCACATCAGCTCAACCAGTGCCCGAGGCGCAGCACCCAAGGCACGCACCTGCACATGCGCCTCCAGGAGGATCTGCTGGGGTCAGACTCGGGTGGCAGGGGTCAGGGCACACGGGGGAGGGAGGAAGGCGAGACCCACAACACGGCTGCTAGGCCCCGGGCCCCGTGGGTAGGTCTCAGCCAGGAAGGAGGCTCTGAAATCGTTCAGGAGTCCCCAGACCCCGAGGATCAGGTGACGGCCCAGAGATGACACGAGGGTGGCAGCGGGCACTTACATTGTCGTTCTGGAAGGAGTGGAGGAAGTTCCCTCCCAGCTCGCCGTCGTCTCTCGGGGTGCCTGGAGGATTGCTAATGCCACTTATGTTGTTAGGAGAATTCTGCAGGGAGAGGAGAGGAGGTGAGCCCCGGCCCCGTGGCCTGTCAGCCGGACTGGGAGACAGGTTTTCTGGGGGAAGGGGCGGGGGTGGGGGGCACAGGGTGGCGTGTCCAGGGAGGAGACATCAAACACTCACTTTTGGAAGTCCATCTATGTCACCTGACCCTGGAAGCAAGAAAGAATCCCGCTCAGTCTCCTGCCCACGCTTCCGTGGAGGGGCCTCCAAACCCTTCCACCCGAGTCCCCCGCTATTGCTGTGCAGAGGATTTCTCAGATCTTCCTGTGGGCAGGTGAGGCCAGGGCCGTGGGCCAGGCCCAGCTGAGCCAGGAGCGGAGACCAAGAGGAGGCTGTGGGGCAGGGCCGGGCGGGGCAGCAGGCTCACCTAACGATCCGTTCATGTGGTGGGGCTCCATGCCGCCCATGCCTCCCATCGGGCCGTCGGAGCCTGGACCCATCGGGAACTGAAAGAAGCACAGAACGGCGGCTGAGTGGCCCAGCGGCCCGGCCTCGAGGAGCTCCCACTCTGGGGGCTCCTCCCTCACACACTCAGGGCCGAACACTGGACGTTCAGGTTGTGTCTACTTGTTGGCTATTATGAATAAGGCTATGAACACTGTGTACAATTACTGTGGGGACACGCGTTTTCCTTTCTCTGGGCAGAGACCTAGCCATGGACTGGCAGGGTCGCAGGTGACTGCTGGACCTTCCGCAGAACAGAACGGCCGGACTGCTCCGGAGCAGCCGCAGCACTGGACACGCCACCAGCAGGGGGTAGGGCTCTGTCTCTTCCCGTCCTGGCTGACACGGGTTATTTCCGACGACAGCCATCCTCCTGGGTAGGAAGTGGCATCTCAGTGTCGTTTTCATTTGCACTGAATAATGCCGGGCATCATTTCATTGTTTACTTGTTCTTCTTTGAAGGAATGTCTATTCAGACCCTTGGTCCATTTCTCAATTGGGTTTTTAAAGAATTACTGGGTTTTAAGAGTCCTTTACATATTGTAGATTCAAGCCCCTCATCAGAGACGTGGTTTACAGGTGTTTTCCCTCTGCGGGGTGTCGAGTCCTTGGAAACACACAAGTTTACGTTTTGCTCGGTCCCGTGCAGCACCTGTTTTCTTGTCACCTGTGCTCTGGGGGTTGCAGCTAAGCCAGCTTGGCGTGGCCCAGGCCACAGGACCGACTCGGGGGCTTTCTTCTGCTGGACAGCGTCAGCTCTGCCATTCGGCCTCGGGTCTGCCTGGAGTGAATTTTGGGTGTTGGTGTAAGAAGCAATCCTTCACCCAGGGAGTCCTTGCTCGGATTCCAATGAAGTTACAGTTGTAATAAAGAAATTACGAAAGTCCTGTTTAAGGTGGCTGCCCTTCCTGGCGACATTTTTTTGAGTCCTCAAGCAGTCTCGTTTCTAAAAGTCGAGTCACTCCCTTGGCCGCATGAGGTTTTGTGCAGCCCCTCTGCCTCCCTACCCACGACCCCAAACATCTAGGCTCCTCATGGCCCCTGCATAGACCCTCAGACGGTTCTGGGGACGCAGCATATGTTTCTTTCTCGGTGTTAATTCCTTTCTCCATTCTCATCTCAATGCATTTCCTAATCAGAGAAGGACAGCACAGCAGGCCAACATTTTAACATCTTCCCTACGGCCAGCAACAAAGATGGCCATCCTGTGGGCACGTGTCCGAGGCTCTCGATTTCTATAGTCAAAACCTCATTAACTGCACCTGCATGTTTTGAGGAAACTGACAAGTGACCAAACGCTCCCGTTACTTCTGAGAGCCTCAGGCCAGAGGTGAGCCTACTGACCCTCGGGGGAGCAGCGTGGGGGCGAGGTGTCCGGGACATGGAGCAGGAACGCGGTTCGCAGACTAAATGGGAGTTGCCAAATCAACTGAGCACTGCCGGCCAGATACGCAGGCCAGCGAGCAACGTCTACGTCTGTGTTTGGACAAGAGAACAACAATTTCTGATTTGCATTTTCTTCACAGGAATCGAGAGGATGACTTAAAGCTCCAGTTTTCAGGTCAAAGCGTCCAAGGCCTGCAGTCGGACCTGCTTCCACTGCAGGACGCGCCGCACACTTGACCTCCTGCAGGAAGCTCACCCGAGTGCTGGCAGGGTCTGCCGGAGTCAACGCTACACAGAAAGGCCCAAGGCGCTTGTCCTCAAAGCCCTGCTCTGCTCACCCCGAGGACCGGGCCACAGCCTCCGCCTTTGCAGCAGCTGCTCAGCTCAGGGGCCGGCGGGTGATTGGCTCCTCAGGGCTGCGTCCGACTGCACACGGCTGCCGCTCTCTTTGATGAAGCCTAGGCGTCTCTTTGGAGGATGCAAAAAACTTCTGATTGGTTTAGGAGGATGTGCCCGTCTCCTCCCGGCCCTGCGTGGTCACATCCCTCCTCCACGGGAGGCGCGCAGCACCTTCCTCTTGGTCGTTTACCGCCCTAGTGCAGCTGCAGGTGTCCTCCCACCTGTCGTTAGAATAACACGGCCGTTTGTCCTTTTTCCAGTGGCGTCTGGGTCCCACTGGCGCAGGTGTCCTTCTCATTTTCATCACCTGGACCCTTGAAGAACACGGTCCCAATGCTCACAGCATGAAACCGAAACCTGCCCCGTCCCGACAGCACGGCAGCTCCCCTGCAGGCAGAGCCACAGGCGGCGCCATCGGCCCGTGACTGCGGCACTCGAGTCGCACCCCTGGGAGCCACAGGTCACCAGGGACAGACCGTGGCCAGGAGGGGCACGGCGACAGCGACCATGGGAGGAGGGAATGGACGCATTTCCGTGGGACCTGAACAGGGTGCCTAGTCCCTGTCTTGGCCGCTGTATAGGTCTCACACTTTCCCGCCCAAGTTTCTGCAGCCGCTGCCATAAACCAGGACCATGTGTGTCCTGGGATTTCGTCCTGGGACATGAGGCTTCTAGAGCTAAAACGCGATGGCTGGTCACCCTCGTGGGAAACAGGGGTGCTGAGGCGGGGCGGTGGGAGGTGCTGAGGGGAGGGAGGGGCGAGGGGCATCAGGTGTGATGCGAGGTTCCCATCCACTGACCCTGGTTACCTTGGCACCCGAGGTGGCGGCCACGGACCCTCACCACAGAGGCTGCAAGAGCTTAAACACGTGCCGTGACCAGCGTGGGGCCGCTCATGCCAGAGTTCAGCACGTGGGGTGGTTTAGACGTCACATTAAGAACCGAGCCAACAACGCCCTAACCGGTTTGGCTCAGTGGATAGAGCGTCAGCCTGTGGACTAAAGGGTCCCAGGTTCGATTCCGGCCAAGGGCATGTACCTTGGTTGCGGGTACATCCCCAGTAGGGGGTGTGCAGGAGGCAGCTGAATCGATGTTTCTCTCTCATCGATGTTTCTGGCCCTCTATCCCTCTCCCTTCCTCTCTGTAAAAAATCAATAAAATATATTAAAGAAAAAAAAAAAGAGCCGAGCCAACAAAACCAAATAGAGCACCTCAAAAGCCATAGACAATTTGGGGGCCCCAAGCCCACCCTCTTGGCTCTGCAGTCCACAGACTTGATGTCACAGGCAGCCTCCTTTCCAAACCCTGAGCTCCAGGGGGCAAGGCGGGCTGGGTTCGCCTGCCAGGCTGACGTGGGAGGGCTGCCTGGAGGAGAGAGACCGGCACTGTCCTCGGGCGCTCCCAGCTGGGAGGGAGACAGGCTCCAGCTGCATTGTCAGTCCCACATGACACGGACTGAGGGACAGGGAGTGGGTGATGAGAAAAGGTAGAACTGGAGCTGCAACATCACTGAAGGCTGGAACTTTGAGAGGCCAAGAGGGGGTTGGGGGCCTCTTGCCGGGGGAATGGCCTGAGGAGAGGCAAAGAGGTGCAAGGGGCGAGGGTCACAGGGCTCCCAAAGGAGACGGAGGCACAGGGCGGCAGGTCCCCAAGTAGGCACGTGCTCCTGTGGCCAAGGAAACAGGCGCCAAAGGGTGTGGCACGGCCCAAACCCCACCTGCCGCCGGTGCTTCCCGGCACCAACACCCCATACAGGGTGGCAGGGCCCCTACCGTGGGCACCCCGCTCTGACCAGATGAGTGGGAATCACTTCATCCCCTTCTCTCCTGGACCCTGGCAGCTGAGATGGGAACTGAGGTGCCCAAGAGTTAATCACTTTTCTGATGGTTTATTTTATTCATCTTTGGAAACAAATGGCTGAAATCAATTAAACTTGCTTTCCCCTCAGCTGCGGAAGTTAATTATGATTTGTTATGGTATCTGATATGTAAATTGTTAGAAAGCAGACTTACGTTGGACCGGCTGCCTCCAGGCGGCACCGGATTAATCATTGTGTAGATGTTGTCACTGGAATTTGTTGAATCTGTAGAATAGTGGAAACCCGCAAGTCGGGGTGATTAATTCATTTCTTAATTAAAACAAACTCGTGGCACTTGAACTCATTCTTTTGTATTTTATCACCTAAAATTTCCTTTAAGTACCGCCATTTTCTGGCTAATTTGTATTTAATGAAGATTCACAAAGTTTTTAATCACAGAAAATTCAACTGTGAAAACCACTCAACCCTGAAATGAAGACTTTTGGGGTGTCTGGACATCTGGACAGCAGTGTGGACAAGGCAAAGGGGGATTACAGGTCCCGATTCTCGGCTCCCCACCCCACCTCACATCTGCTCCTGCTGGGACAATGCGGGGGCAGCCAGATCGCCACCTGTGCTCTCCCTAACCCAGCAGTTTTAATCAAATCGGGGAAAGAGAAACACCACACATCACCCAGGGGCCGCCCTGGTGGGGCAGGGGGAGAGGCAGGGCTGGGCAGGAGCCACATTAGCATATGGAGTGGTTTAACGTGACCCAGTCTGAATGTAGGTCATGCAGCTCATAAAAATGCAGCAGCAGAAAGGAGTCGGAGTGGGAGCCGGAACATCACGCTGCCGCCCGCCAGCTCCACCCCTGCGGCTGAGTTTCCCGCTATGGGGAGCCGAGAGGGGAGGGTGGGAGAGAGGGACCCCTCCATCTCCCCAATTAGGCAGAAAGGTCTCCTTAGGAAACCAGCTAACAGGTTTGTATCAGGAGCAGGCCCCATATTCCTCAGGCAGAAATCCAACCACCTCTCACTTTTTATTTCTGGGTGGTAAGGGCTGCGTGCTGAACTCCTCCTAGCTGGTGGCATGCTATTCTTAGCCGGAGAGACACACAATCGTGATGCTGCGTGTGTGCTGTATGCCCTTCTCTGGTTAAAGGAAAAGGGAGAAGGGGCCTCCTACAGAGAGGACCGGGCACAGAGTCCTGGGCTCCGGCTGCCAGAATCCAAAAGCCCCTTCTGTCACCTGGAGGAATGTACAATCAGATAGGGGGCCCTCAGACTAAGGGCCAGTGAGACCCTTGTCCCAGATCCCCCTGCTCTGCTCGTCCCTTAACCAGAGAGGAGCCATGATCTGGCTGAGGCCACACAGGGGTTTCATGGCACCAGGGACCTCATGCCCCCCAATCCCGATGCCAAGATGATCTGCGGAGGATGTGCTGCTCAGGAGCGGCTGGCAAGCTCTGGCTCTGCACCTGTGCGCCCCCAGGACTCCCTGCACCCGTCCCCAAGCCCTCACCTGCAGGACTAGGCATGATGGGTGTTCCTGGGGGGCCGCCACCGCCAGGAGGTCCCTGGAGATGAGACAAAAATCGACATCAGAAACCCAGGGTGGTAACATGGGGGAGAGGCCACCGAGCTCCAGCCAGGACAGCAGCAAGCGCTCGCCGGGCCCAGCCGGCACTCAGCTCTCGCTCATCCTCCATCACGCACGCAGAGCCCGCCTGTTTGAGCCTTAGGGGACTGGACTTGGCTTCTCCCCTTTCTTCCTTTAAACCGAGGGGTGTGTGTGCACATGTGTACTCCTATGCATGCTGATCGATGAAACCAGAGCCTGTGCTGCAAGCCACCCACCCACTAGCCAGCCCCCAGATGGGGATGACAATTCCAGGGCTTGTTGGAAACTCTGGGAGCAGCAGGAGGTACAAACTCCAGAATACTGACAGGAAGTTCTAGCACAGCTGGAATCTGTGCTCCGATGTGTTTGAAAGGGAGAGACAGGGCTCCCTGAGGAGTTCTCTTGCACACTCAGTCACAAGCGGCTCGACATGCAGCACCCCACACTCACACACTTACCACGTAGGTACCGGGTGATGAGGAGGAGTATGGAATCTAGAAACAAGAGGCAGGGAGCACATGTCAGAGTCACTTCCGCCAACAGGCAGCACTTTTTGGCTTCTAAACCCACTTGGGGACACGACCCCTTCTTGATGGGACCGGCTGTGGCACCCACTGAACCAGGGGCAGGGGTGTGAGCCGAGTCCAGCTCCTGCACCGAGCTGATCCTGAAAACCTCCCAGGGAGCCTGGGGGCCCCTCCAGCTCCAGAGGGCAGGACAGCAGGAACGTCGCCCCACGCCTCTACGCTTCTCCCTGGACCGTCTGTGCGTGGCCCCTTCCCAGCCTTCCTCTGAGTGCTGGTCCTGCAGGAGCCTCTATGTGAACAGTGCTCGGAGCCCAGCTCTCAGCTCACACCTGTTTCTGCAGAGCAGTGGGCTGGGCTGCGCAGGGCCGAGCCCAGGATGGCCCCAGCATGTTACTCCCAAGCTTGAGCGTACAGGTGGACTTCTCCTGGAGGCATCAGGTAGAGACCTGCTGCATCTCCTCTCCAACCTGGGGACAGGAACCACCCTGCACCTCACAATCCCCTCCCTGGCAAACACACCCACGTGACCTGGTACTCACTGAGTTAGCACTGTTAGGATTGGGCCAGGGTCTGCCAGCTCCCGGGCCCCTGACGGAGGGAGAGATGGAGAGAGTGAAAAAGGTGCCGTCAACTCCAAGGGTGGTGCCAGCAGGGGCAGAGTGAGAGGGTGAAGTGACTGATGGGAAGTCCTGCCTAGCAGCCCAGGGCCTGAGGGACCACCGGGTTCTGGGGTTGTAATGGGTAGTTCCATGGGGAGAGATCTACCAACTCCTATAAGTTACATGGAAACCTGTGAAGTATAGAAAACCTCCTCTGCATGTGCGCTTGCCTAGGGACCTATCACCGCAAAGGGGGTACGAAACACTGAAGCCCTAGAACAGCCTACAGGGGTCAAATCTGGACCCTCCCACTCTGCTGTGAGAGCCGGGCAAGTGGCTTCACCTCTCTGTGCCTTGGTTACCCTCCTGTAGCTAACATAACCTCCTCACAGGGCTGTTATGAAGATTAGGTGAGCTGAGCCATGTAACATGCTGAGAACCGTGCTGGGCACATAAAGCACCCTATGGGGTGGGGCCGCATCACCAGCACTGGCAGCAGCGTTCTCGCTGTACTGATGAGGAGACTGAGGCCCCGAGAGGGGCCAGTAATGGCTCAGGTCACAAGTGTCCCGGGAGGGCAGCAGAGGGTGGGAAAGCCGTGGCTCTGAGCCGCTGGCGGGTCACTTTGCCTTACATGTTAATCCCGGGCATGGCGGGGCCGAGGGAGTTGGGTGGTGGTCTCATGCCGCTGCCGTAATTCTGCAACGATAACCAAGGGTCAGTCTATGAGAAGGAGAAGGGGAACCGGAGAGAGAGAGAGAGGGAGGGAGGGAAAACAGACAGAATATAAGTGAGAGGGTTAGTCTGTGAAGAGAATCTGATGAGAAAAAATAACACATTTGTTTTAAAAAGGTGGAGGGAGGGTGGGAATCACGTGATGGGATCACGATGACAAGCCAGCACAGAGGGACAGTCACAGCTTTAGACGCAGCTTCGGGGCTCCAAGGGGGTTCTCTCAAAAGCACACGGACGTCAAGCAAGCCCCTCACACCTCTGGCCCCTCCCCCTCAGGTCCAGGCGGGGAAGGGGAATGGACGTACGAGATCTGACTGGGAAGGGCCAGCACCTCGGACACAACGAGGGAGGAGCTGCTGGCAGGCTGGGGCCGGGGG